ATAAAACTTTTAATGTAGCTTCTGGTATCTATATCTTAATATTATCTTTATAATATACGCATTAAAAATGTATGATAAGTCGAGAATATATACTGTACAATAATTTGGGAGGAATTTTATTATTTTTAATAATAAATGAATACAAATAAATTATATGCGGATTATAATATACGGAGTATATATAATATTAATGACATTTCATAGCAGACAAGATGAAGGTTTTTTTCGATTGAAATTTTATGGCCTGGTCTGAATTGGTCTGATTTTGTCTTGTACGATAGATCTCTAGTTTTTGAAAATTTTATAATTTTTCGAGGTCTAGTCTATTTTATTTCTATTCAGATTTGTTCAGGTGTGATTTTGTCTGTGACTAAAATAAGTCTAAGTAAAAACTTTTAAAACAGATCAGACCAGATCAGACAAAAATTAATTAGACCAAATTACATCAGATAAAAAAAATTCAATCCAATTAAAACATGTTAACTCTATAATTCGACATTTAGAGCCCGTTTGGTAGCACAAAAATTGGCTATTTTGGCTGATTCTGCTGAAATTTATGAAGTTCTGACTGAAGTGGCTGCATTGGATGATTCTGCTAATTTAAGAAAAAAATATTTTTTAAAATATATTTTATTTATAAAATAAAGAAAAAAATATATGTAAAAATAGCTAAAATGGTCATCTACAGTAACATCAACCAATACAGCCAGAAGAGTAACTTTAATCTTACTTTTTCTGCTTATTACACAATTCAGTGCGCGAAAACAAAAGTTACGTGTTTGGTGAAAAAATTGACGGATAAGTCTGATAAACCGAAAAACAGTGTTATCAAACGGCCTCTTAGTTAGTTAACTTGTCCCATGTTTATTTAAGATGTTTGCTTACAAAAAAAGTTTTGGATGTAATTTAGGTAGAAATAAAACCCAAGGCAGTTAAGTACTCCGTGTGTTAACCGTGAGTGAGGGGGATATCAGATATAGCTTCTTTTACGAGTAAAGGGTCAGTTTAGTCCTCGTAGTTGCAAAAAAGGCGTCAAATAAGTCCTTATATAGAAGATTATGTCCGGACGTGCCATTTGAGGTGGCTCCCGGTGGAATTTTGTGATAAATTTTTTGGAGCATCTTATTCATTAAGTCTAGTTTATTCATACCAAATTTCAGCTAAAAATTCAATCAGGAAGACATTCAAATGAATTCTTGAAGATAACAACGCTTTTAACGGCACAGTTATCTTCAAGAATTCATTTGAATGTCTTCCCGATTGAATTTTTATCTGAAATTTGGTATGAGCAAACTAGACTTAATGAATAAGATGCTCAAAAATTTTCATCAAAAAATTCCACGGGAGTTTTTTGGTCCAAAAATTTGTTTAAGGGCTTAGATGCCCTTTATGTATAAGATTAGGGGGAATTTGCCCCTTTTCCCCTATTAATGTACTATCTCGACCTCTCCCTTTCCAATCTTGATTCCGCTCGTGCCTCTTTCAAGAATTTTCCTTTTCAAGTAACTTTGTAAATCTGAGGAAAAACTCATACTTGAAAATGTTTCTCACCACACTATAATAGTTGTTGGGTGTCGATTTCTTTCCGGCTCAGGTCTCCAACCCTTTTGCTATACTCTCACACACCACCCTAGGCTAGACCACAACACAACTCCAAGCTTCTTCTCTACCACTAAGGTATTCTCTCACACTCTCACACAAAGGAAATGGAGAAGAAGAAGGGCACTGCTCTCTCTAGTTTTTCACGCAGGCTGCTCTCTCAAGGAAGAAGAAGAGCTACATAAATAATAGGCTGGTAGACACAAGGACACTCACATGTGATGCAAAGACAAGGAGGGCAGCATAGGACAGCTCAAAGGGGTCACTCCACATAAGTCAAAATGGCCATATTATTGGTTAGGAGAGATTCAAATAAAGAGGTGCCAAAGTGGGAGTAAACATAGGGTGCAAGTCAATAATAAAGTGGAAGGGAGGTCTTGGTAGGACCAATACCTCCAACATTTAACACATGTTAATAGACCACGCAAGCAAGCATCCGGGAGAAGTTGGGGATTCCAACTAATCCAACAACCACACAAAGCAAGTATAAAGAAAATAAAAGAAACAATATTATTTCTATAACTAGCACAGGTAGAGCTCACATAATCACTTGGTATCACATTTTCAAAACACAAAGAAAATAGCATACCAAATATCACAAAGATTTTAATTAAAAGAGAATTAAGCACATTTAAAGCAAACTCAGAGGAAATATAGTCAAACACATTGCACATATAATTTCTCACATGCTTCCTAATGTCTCTATCTCTAATAACATGGCAATCACGCAACTCAAGCATATTGCACACAAAATTCATATCATGCTCCACCTTAATAGAAATATTATTTTCTTTATTTTCACCATGAAAAACATTTTCATCCACAAATTTGGGTTCGGTTTCAACAAGTAAATCAGAATGAACATCAGGCAAATGCTCCACCTCATTTGGAGCAACATCAGGAGAAACAAGCAGGCAAGGAAATTCATTTTCAACAAAAATGACATTTCTACTCATCAACACATTGAAGCAAGTTTCACTCCTACACCAAAGCCTATAACCTTTCATGCAATCATGATATCCTAAGAAAACATATTCCTTAGTCCTAGGTTCAGATTTATCATTCACACGATTCACATAAGCAGCACAACCAAACACTCTCAAATTTGGCAAGTCAAGTGGTTTGCCCGTGAACACAGATTCAGGGCATTTCCCTCCTAAGGGAACAGACGGGGACATATTAACCAAATCAACAGCATAACAAATAGCTTCCCCCCAGAACTTATTAGAGAGCCCAGATGAAGCTAACATAGCCCTCACCCTCTCTAATAAAGTTCGAACCATCCTCTCAACAACCCCATCCGGTTGGGGTGTGGAGGGAACAGATTTATGCATAGAAATACCCCAAGTATCACATAAATCACCAAGCTGATCATCACAGAAATCAAAACTGACATTGGTCCTTAAAAAATTCATTTTCTTACCGGTTTGTTTTTCAACAAGGGTTTTCCAGTTTTTAAACTTATCAAAAACTTCAGATTTATTCTCAATCAACAAAACCCACACTTTCTTTGAAAAATCATCAATCAACGTCAGAAAATAATTTTTCCCACCATGAGTGGAAACACCATAAGGACCCCACAAGTCAGCATGAATACAATCAAGCACATTAGTACACTTAGGCAGATCAGGAAAACCAACTCTAGACTGTTTTCCTAGCACACAGGGTTGCACACAATTCACAGAATCAAGTACGGGTTCACCATGACAAACATACAAGTTGTTTTTCATCTCAGCTTTGAAAACAACTAAACAACCCTTCACAACTTTCATGATTCCCTTTCCCCATTTTCCCTTCAAACCCACATTTTCAAGAGAAGCACAAGATAGCAAATTACAGCATAGCTCAGGAACATGCCTAACATTCTTCAAAGTAAGCACATAACCAGAAGAAAACCTAAGGCACACATCTCCTATTCCTAGCACATTGCATTTCTTCTCATTTGCTAAAGACACAAAGCCATGCTCAATCTCTCTATAGTTTGAAAAACATTTTTCAACGGGGACATGTGAAAACTACAACCAGAATCTACCACCCAATCTGATTTACCCAAAGAATCAGATATCACAGAACTCAAATAGTCATAATCACATAGATTTTTCATCATAAAAACATCACCTAAATCATCTTCACACCTAGTCAAATTAGCATGCTCACTATGCTCATTTTTCCTAGATTTAGGACAGTCTCTTATGAAATGACCAGATTCGTGACAATAATAGCAACGCCTCGAACTAGACCTAGACTTAGATCTATGTCGTCTACTATTATTTTCTCTACCCCTCACATGCATAACTTCCTCGGAGTTTCTACCCTCACCCATCTGTTTTAAATCTAATTCCTTACTCTTAAGACCATTTACCACAATGTCAAGAGTCACATTATCTCTACCATACTGAATAGCAGATTTCACATCACTAAAGGAATCAGGAATAGCATTTAAAAGAGCAATAGGGGAATAATCATCTATATGCTTATCACCACACAACTTAATATCCGAAATAAGTTTGGTAAAAACATCTAGATTTTCTTCAATATCTATAGACATATCTAGTCTAAATTTGAAGAACTTTTCAAGTAAAAATATCCGGTTAGGCAAAGAGGTTTCGGTATACAGTTCATCTAATTTATTCCACAGAATTTTAGCACTCTCTAAAATTCCAACTTTTCTAATCACAGAGTCAGATAAGTTCAAATAAATCACAGAACATGCATTTTCATTCATTTCAGCCCTTTTCTCTTCTGTGTCAGAAATTAAATAGGTTTCGCCAACTGCTTTAAAACATTTTTGTTGTATTAAAATACATTTAATTTTTTGCTTCCAAATGCTAAAATAAGATTTTCCATTAAATGGAGCCATACCATACTGATTATAAGCAGACATTTTCACAGAGAAAAATAAGCAACAAAAGAAAATGTAAATTTTGCTGAAAAAACAATTTAAATATTTATAAGGCTACAACTATACGGAGCAACTAGCACGAACACGCGGGGAGTATTAATGAGCACCAAACTCAACTTCAAACCCCTTGTTCTTCCGTATAAGCACAAATAAATAATAATTTTTCAGCACAGAACAACACAACAATTCTAACAATTTTAACAGCAATAATAAACCTAAAATATAATTTCTACACAATAAAAGATTAAATCACTACAAAAGCGATAAAAGGGATAAAAGTCAATATACCGGAGCGAAACCCTAGGAGAGGCGTTTCGACCTTACCCACCCAATTTTAAAAAATTGGGATTTTTCGGAAGGTTTGACTGGAGTGGACTGCCCGCTGACTATCCGTTGACCAAGTTTGACTAGCAGTTGACCAGCTCAGTTCCAGCCCAAAGTCTTCTCTCTGCTTCAAACTTCAGCCTGTGCTCCAGTGCTCTAGCCAGTCCAAGTGTATCTCAAATCCAGCCCAAGTTGAAGCCCAGCAGTACAGTAAGCTCCCAGCAGCCAAAACGCCCAGGTCTAGCCGTGCTCCAGTGAATGCGCGAAGCTTCCAGATCCGGCCTTCAACTTCCGTCCAAGCTTCAGCCTTCGTTCCAGTCCTCAGCGTCCAGTAAAGGTGGTCTGCTACAGGCCTTCTGCGAGCAACGAGGAACACATGGGTTGGCTTCCAAGCGAACGACTTCAGGCCTCAAGCTCCTGTCCAGTTCCAGCGTCTGCTTCAAGCTCGAGGTTCAATCCAGCGGCGGACGAGCCCAGCTATGTTGACGGCTTTCCAGTCCTTCAATCGATGGCGGATGAGGCACCTAGCCCCTGCGAATGGGATTCCAGATCCCGGCCTCAAGCTCAGCAAACCAGCGACGAACGGCGAGCACCCAAGCGACCGGCGGCTCCGGCGACTGGTTCTGGCGAGCGAATTTCTGCGGCGGAGAGCTTCCAGCTGACTTGCGCAGCAACCAGCTTCCCAAGCAACTTCCCACGGAAGGATTTGGGGCACAAAAAACACCAACGATGGCTTCAGACTGCGAATCTACGGGCTTAGGAGCTGGAGACCTCCCAGACCTCGAATCGGCGGCGGACGGCGGTCAAGTTGGTCAAAGATACATTTAGAAGTCATTTCGCAATACTGTTTTTCAGTTTATCAGACTTATCAATTATGTTTTTCACCAAACATGTAGTTTCTGCTTTCTCAGGTTGAATTCTTAAATAAGCAGAAAAACTAAGATTGAAGTTACTTTTTTGGTTGTATGAGTGAAGTTACTACTTCATATAATCATTTTAACTATTTTACATATAATTTTTTCTTTATTTTATTAATAAAATAAATTTTAAAAATAAATTTTTCTTAAATCAGCAGAATCAACCAACACAACCACGTCAGCTAGAATTTCATAAATTTGAGCAGAATCAACATAATCAATCGATTTTCATTCTATCAAACGGGCTCTTAATGAACTTGAAGTCTCAAACAAGCTTAAACTCTGTTTATTGTGTATCAAAACTCGAGAATAAGTCTCAACATGAATCAAACTGGGACTGATTATGTTCATTTAATTCACAACTACTCTGCTGATTTAGAAGTTAGAACCCAAACAATTACAAAAGTTATGAACTTATGACCTGTTGAAAGTTGAAACTCACAAGTACGTTCAAACGAGTCCTTAATAAGATTGCAAACGAATCAAATAATTTGTGCTCGATTCGCATTTCGAATTCGTGTAAGATGATTCGAATTCAAAAAATTCAAATACAAATACAAATAAGAATATCAAATTTGATTCGAGTTATTTGAATATTAATCAAATATATTCGATTAATAATAATGGTAATATTAGTAACAATAATAATAATAATAATAGTGATAACAATATAATAACTTTTGAGAGATAGCAATAACATCAAAGTGTAGCCCATATAACTCAAATGAACGTGAATATAACTCAAATGATTAATTTGCTGGTCTGGTTTGGTCTGATCTTATCTGGTATGGTCTGATCTGAACTGGTCTGGTCTGGTCTGGTAAGGTCTGGTTTCTTTGAATTTTTATAACTATCCAAGTCTGGTCTGGTCTGGTCTGGTCTGAACTGGTCTGGTCTCGACAAATTACAGTCGAAGTAAAAACATCCAAAGTCTCAAACAAGCTTAAACTATGTTATAGGGTAGGGCTGAGCAAAATGATTTGGTTTGACCCAGGGGCAGAGCTAGGAGACTAGGGAAGGGCCAACACTAGCCCAGGCCCAGCCCAAATTTTAAATATGTCTAAATTTTTAGTGTAAAAAATTCTATGGAAACTTTTTTTCAGAAATATTCGTTCTATCGGCCCAGTCTGGCCCAGTGTCCTGGCTCCGCCCCTGGTTTGACCGAACCAAATCGAACCGAAAATTTGTGGTTTGGTTTAGTTTGGTTTACCTTAAGTAAACCGTTTGATAACAATTTTCTCAAATCGAAAGGTTTAGTTTGGTAGTTTGATTTAAAACCGAAAAACCGTAAACCGAACCAAACACCGAACAACTCGTAATAAATACTATCGTATATGCTTTGTACTTTTCTTCACTTTTCATCTTTAGGATATAAATAAATATTTTAAACATGAAAAATACAAATTTAGCATATATCATTTTAACTTTTACACATTTCATACATTCATCATGACAAAATTAGCTAATACAACATATTTGTATTTGTTACGTTGTGTACTCTGAAAAGATATTTGGTCATAACAATTACAAATTGAGTTTATATTTTTTACATGATTCATTTGAATGAAATTATGAATATTACAACATTTGTATCACTGACTCCTTTAGTTTTTTGAATATTTTATTTAATATTATAAATGCTAATCAATTATAAATTTATTTTTTGTGAGAAGTGAATATTTTATTTAATATTATAAATGCTAATCAATTACAAATTTTAATTTATAATATATTATTATTTTCCTATCTTTTTATTTCGTTTGACATTTTATTTAAATAATAAATCAAAGAAGATGAGACGGACTATACTTTCATGTTCTAATCCTAAAATATAGAACATGATCAAATAAAATAATAAACATAAGAAACTGAATCAAATCGAACTAAATCGAACTGAACCAAAACCAAACCGAAACTGAACCAAAATTCAAATGGTTTTAGTTTGGTACAAATTCTTTCAAACTGAATAAACTAAAACCGAACCGAAACCGAAACCGAACTAAACCGATTTGCCCACCCCTATTATAGAGTATCAAAACTCCATAATAAGTCTCAACATGAATCGAGCTCTGACTGATTATGTTCATTTAATTAACAACTATCATGCTCATTTAGAAGTTGGAACCGAAACAATTACAAAAACTATGAACTTATGACCTGTTGAAACTCACAATACGCTCAAACGAGCCCTTAACAGCAGATAAAGACAAATGCTGGGAAAGGTAATTAAAGCCTTGGCCGGCCTGCCATGATTCTCAATAGAAGAGAAGTCTGGTTGCAGCCCACTTTGACTTCAACCTCAGCTCTAGCTGTTTGATTGCAAGGTCAACCTCCACCTCTTCTGCTTCAGTGTAATTCCTAGCCTGCTCCTCCGCAAGAGAATACGCCATCTTTATTTGGTTTAATAATTCTTGCCTTTCCTCCTTGAGAGATAGACTGCAATTCTCAATAGCCTCGAGCTGAGCTTCAAATTCCCTTTCTTTCTTGTACAGCTTCTCCAGCTTAGCCTTTATTCCTTCCCCCCTTTTCACCAAGTCCTCAAGCAAATTTCGGGTGTGCTCAAAACTAGACCAGGGATGCCCGCTTCTTCCCTTCCTTTGACGTCTCCATTCCTGAATCATCTCAGGAAAAGTATGTTTCAAATAAATGTGGGCGGTTAGAGAAGACAGAGACTCGAGTATGGCAGTTTCATTCCGGGGTTCAGCCAAAACATCCAAAGGGTGTGATATCAATGTGTCAATGATTTCTTTTGCAGAATGTGAAGTTCCTTTGAGGAAATCCATTTCACATTTTAGATCATTGGATCCCGTGCAGCCGAAACTGGAAGGTCTCTTGGGCAGTGACTCTAGAAACGATTGAGCCTCTACATAAACAGATCCATCCAGATCAAGTGCCAGTGAAGAATCTACAACCTGATCCCAGACAAGTAGGAGAAAAACATATCATTAAGAATTATGATGTTCAAGACAAACAACAATAATAACAGCAACAACGTTACCCTGCAAAGGTCCAACATACGATGGGGTAAGGAGGGTTGAATGTACATAGTCTTACTCTGGTACTAAAACACTAAAAGATTGTTTCCGGAATTCCGGATGTCTCATGATATGATGTTTAACACAATATCATAAAAATATTCCTTCAGTTTCAATCAAGCATATATCTGGATAAAGAACTTACTTTATCGTTGGAAGCTAGAGAAGCGTCGGTCAGCATAGAAATTTCAGTTTCGACAAGGCAAATGTCATCAACAAGATAACCTTCACTTTGATTGTGAAACTTACTCAGCGAGATAAATGAAGTATAGCCTCTACTAGTGCTTTGAGCTTCATATTTACTTTCCCTGTCTGTATCATAATGCCCAAAAAGTAAATGGAAAATATATCTATCACAAAAGATAGAACTGGGACTTCATTGGGGAAGGGTATACAGTCCATGAACGCTTGTAATAACGTATGTAAGCTATAGCAGAATAATAGTCCAAAATACAGAGTGAATTGTGATGATTGTACAATACAAAATTATTTTATTACCGATTACCATATGGCATAACTATGTTTATGAATGTGTGATTAAAGAATATGGCATATCTATGTTTAAGAATAAAGAAACTCATACATAGAAGCTGTTGAATGGTGGACCTATAAAAATCAAAATGTCATGAATGTTACTTATTACAAAATGTTATAAAAACAAAAAATGATCTTATTGGTAATATTTTAGCCTATATTATTTGGTATTAGACTATGTTGTACGGAGACGCAAAAATCATGAGAAAACGGGAAACGGTGAATGCAACTTTTGGTCAAAAAACGCTTGTTTGGAGAGTTTCCGAAACGGAAACGTACTCATTCCCGAGAGTTTCCGTGCAAGTGTGCAACATAGGTACTAGATCATGTAAATTTACTTTCTATGATTATAAAATATTTACATTTTTTTCTTTTCTTTGTTTATGCCTGGGCAAAATAATGTTAATTTTATTTAAAAATAAACGTAATTTTTACTCATGTTTCTTGATAATCTAGGCAAATCATGAAATCAAATCTAAACTATTGAACTTTCAATATCTGAAAATTTATACCCAATGAGGGAGATAATTAAGTCACAAGTATCGTGACTTATGCAGAAATTAGCCGGTTTCCTACTGCCTATAGTTTAGAAAAAAGAGTATTAAACAGACAACTTCACATTCTTGTGACTTATGGGGAAATACCTCTCTTGATGGTTTTATTGGGGTCTATTTGGTTAATAAGAGCTAGACTGAATTTAGTTGTTATACTCCACCCATCGGGTAAGCTAGATGCATCAGCCACACGGAGGAATAGAGACAAATGATCTGTTTGGCTTCCTTTTGGAAAAAGGCACAACCTCCTGCAGATATAGATAAAAATAAAACTAATACTACGTATATGCACATAATTTGCCTATTATAATTAAGCATGTTTTTGGTAAATATACAACTTGATGGCATACCATTTGTACTCATTCACCACAAATGTCACCGAGTACATCTTTTTATGTTTAATTTTCGAGAAATCTTCAATTCTCCAGGTAAATTTTGACATCATATGTATATTGATTGTTTGGATCTTCAATTCGTCGCTTGAGATTTTCCGCGTTCCTTCTGTCAGCAAAACCCACCATTCAATTAATGGCATAAAAAAACTAAGAAAAATAGCTAAACTTCATACAATACCAATAATCAACTACCAAAAATTACACATTTCACAGTAAAAAACTACTCCGTACTTCGTATAAATCTATCCGAGAAGGCGAGAAAAGCTTAGTTTGATTCTGGGTACACCGTACATCCAACTCTTTTACTACTTCACCTGCTTAAACTCCTTCCAAAACTTTTTCTTGCCGTATAAAAGTAACAACATACTCCGTTTTATTCATCTTGAATTGGTTCATACAGAGTAGTATTTTACTTAATAAACCTGGGATTAAAATTAGTAACACATTTACTTTTGTATGCTCACGCTAACCAGAGTATCAAAGGAGATCATTGGTGGATATGGTGATATTATGATCAAAACGTAGAATGTGAAAAGAAGAAAGGATTTACTCACTACGTGAATGAATGGAAATTAATAAGGGCCATTATAACGGAAGCTCTGTTATAGCACATGTTCCTCATTCATCCGTTATTACAAAACTTGATTTAATTTTGACTACAAAGTCCTATAAGGGATTAATAAGGAAAGCCTTTGTTATTGGACTATGCTGACATGGCCTTAAATCTTATAAGGGATTAATGGGGCCATATCCCTTATACCATGCGCCGAACAGAATCTTACATTACAAATTTCAATTTTTTTTTAATGGAATTATAAATTGAGTTTGTGAAGACAAATTAATAAGAAGCTATTCTGTTATTCTTTATTAGCCGCATATTAAATAATAATAAAAAAGTATCACATCTCCCCAAAAATAATTCCCCCCATTTAAACATACTCCATATTTTTAATTATTTGTCACAAGGACGTGTTAAATCATTCAAATAAAATATTTTATATTGTGTAGGCTTGCTGGTCTGGTCTGTTCTGGTATGTTCTGAACTGGTATGGTTTGGTTTGGTTTTTTTTGTATTTTTATAACTACCCAGGTCTGATCTGGTCTGGTCTGGTTTGGTCTGATCTGATCTGGTCTGGTCTGGGACAAATTACAATCCAAGTAAAAACATCCTTGAGCCTATTTGAGTAAGAGAATTGATTTTTTTTGGAAGAAAGGGGCTTAAATTGATATCATACCATTAACATTCAGATAGGGAGTTAAACGACAAAAGGAGCACAGACAACTGCCAGCCCTAGAAGGAGACTTAGAGTCAATCACCTTCAAAAAAGCAATATAACTCGTTGATCCTATAATGGACATAAATGAGCCAAAGACGGTTAAAGCAGACCTCCTATCACCCAATCCTAATGCAAGATTCTTACAATAATAAAAGTAATCAATAGGAAAAAAAGCAGACTGATCATGACAAATAAATTGAAAGCAAACAGTTAAATTAAAAAAAATGCTTCCAACCCCTAGACTCTAGACTCGCCAGAAAATGACCACAAATGACAAAAACGTTAGTCAAGTATCAAAAGTTAATAAAGTGATACACGTGGATCAAAAGTGTAATTAATTCAAATACGGCCATAGTAAATTTAAATAAACTAAATTAAATAAGATTAAAATACGACAATATATACTCGACCGAACTTGGAAACTAATTTGATATTGTAGGACAATTTAGTGTAATGTAACAGCCTTACATACTGTTGTTGCTACTTCAAAAAATAAAAAACTACAAATAAAAGATCATTGGCTAATTGGCTTCACCAGCCACCGGAAAGGGAGAACTAATATAATGTGACCAACAATAAACAAAGAAAGCACTGTCGAGCAGAAATTGTCCAAATCATCAATTTGATCAGTTATCAAAAAGGAGATCTAGATGAACACTTTGTTTATCCTTAAACGTGATGTGGTGTAGGAGGAGGATGAGTAATTGAAGCCTCGAAAGTAAGGTTTAACCAGCTTTGCAAATCATGAACAATAAAAAGTCAAAAATTCACCACTTGATTGGTGATGACAATGAGAAATACACAAGTAACACAACCTCTAGACATCGCTAGGAGAAGAACATGTGTCACACTCACCTGAAGCGGACAATACTCTTGATGGACAGTGTACCCGGGGGTAACTTATCTGAGGGTTATTATGAGAATAACCTAGAGAGAAGTCAGAGCAAACAAGTAAGAGAGAGAGAGTCGATTGTATTAATGAACTCGAGATGTTCTGGTCCTTTACAAGAGGAATAGGGGCTGCTATTTATAGCATCAATAAATGCGATGAGAGTACACGTGTCAGTAATCTAACGGCCGAGAAGTCACAATCGGGGTGGCACCGGCACTCGCATGTGCACCGCATTAAATGAGGTGGTTGGACGCGATGCCGCCTCTAATGAGCTGATCACATGAATTCATGAGGCTAAGTAAAAGTATAAGCTACTGATGAAAGATTGACCAGCTAAGTAAAAGTATAAGCTACGAATAGCAAATTGATTTGATAATAAGTTAAATATTAGTCAAATGATAATATCACTTTAATAGTTTTTTTTCTTTGTTTTTGTTATTATAAATGCATGCTATGACTTAATATGTGTTTTTAAAATTTAATTTGGAAATTTTTTCGCTTTTCTTTATAATTTAATAGATCAATGTGTTTTTAAGTTGTGCACAACATATTAAAGTGAATAAGTTTTATGATTAATATAAATAAAGGTATTTAAGAGTTTTTAAAATAATCAGTAATACACATATTAGAAATTATACATTTAATTTGTGAAATAAGTTGATAATTATATCAAAGCAAAACTACTCTAATTTTATGTGTCATCCGGACATAAAACATAATATTCATATTTCTATTACACACTTTAACCTGTATTTAAGAGTGATCCCTAAATATTACTTCTATTATTATTACATAATGAAGTAACCAGTAGTACTAGTAATTTATTACTAGTAATACGGAATACTTGACAATTTGAGTCTCTTTCAAATACATATTTTTTTGTTAACACTCTATAATGGGGCCACGCTTGAATTAAAGTTGAGGATGTGGGCTAAATTCCAATTTTAAAAATACCTTATATAAAAGCATCTTTACTCCCAACCCTAATATTCTCTGTGCTCGAAGTGCGGCGCACTCATTTTCTCTCCTAACACTTATCGTTTCTGAACTTGAAGAGCGGCGCACCAACGTTTTTCATCTAGCGTTGATTTCTTCTTCGCTTTCCTTCGTCTGAGATATGCCGTTCAAATCAAGAAGATGGCTTTCCTATAGTAACTCCGGGTAAGGATTTTCTTTAATTTATTATCTCAAGAAATCAAACCCTAAGCATATGTGTTGTTGTTTATTTGTCCGAATCTTGGGTGTATTGAGATTCTAATCAAAATTAAATCTATCATTTCTTTTCATTTTTTCGAACTGATAATAAAGATACTTTTCATTGTTTATTCAACCATTTTTTTTAGTAATAATACCTTAAGAGTTCTTATTTTTTTGCAATGCTTTCAGCAGGTGGAAGAGATCTATGCATTTGGGGTCAAGATTTGGAAGGATGCCTACCAAATGCGTGTTCTAACAAACAACGATAAAAGCCGGCAATCTCCACTTTAGAAGAATGATCCTTCCAAAAACATAGCTAGAATGTAGTTCGGGATCTAAATTTAGCTACTTGATGTATTGTAGTTGATTTTATCATAATTTTGTTTAGTAAAATTATTGTATAGTTCTGTATATGACAATTTAATTACCGGATTCCATTAATTCGGGTTGTTTGTGTAATTAAATATATCAATGTCATTATATTTTAAATTAATTAATGCTGCGTATATATTTTGTACGTATATTTGTATATAAATACAACTTGAATACGATTAAAATAATTTCGAATTTAATACGACTATTATCATGGAATTCAAAATTCAAATATTTTTTCTGGGAGAATTATTTTTGTACTCCCTCCGTCCCTGAATGTTCTTCCGATTGCGGATTACGAAGGTTGACCGACGATAAAGTTAAATGATCCCTGTGAAAACTCGGATTATTTTTAGTAAATAAAATTTACATATTCAG